CCTCATTCGCGTCAAACGGCAGCAGCAGTGGTCCTACATCTAGTGGAGGCTCCTCATTTGCGTCAACGGGCGGCAGTAGTGGTCCTACATCTAGTGGAGGCTCCTCATTTGCGTCAACCGGCGGCAGCAATGGTTCTACATCTAGTGGAGGCTCCTCATTCGCGTCAACCGGCGGCAGCAATGGTTCTACATCTAGTGGAGGCTCCTCATTTGCGTCAACCGGCGGCAGCAGTGGTCCTACATCTAGTGGAGGCTCCTCATTTGCGTCAACGGGCGGCAGTAGTGGTCATACATCTGGTGGAGGCTCCTCATTCGCGTCAACCGGCGGCAGCAATGGTTCTACATCTAGTGGAGGCTCCTCATTCGCGTCAACCGGCGGCAGCAATGGTTCTACATCTAGTGGAGGCTCCTCATTCGCGTCAACCAGCGGCAGCAGTGGTCCTTCTTCTAGTGGAGGCTCGTCATTCACGTCAACCGACGGCAGCAGTGGTCCTACATCTAGTGGAGGCTCCTCTTTCGCGTCAACCGGCGGCAGCAGTGGTCCTTTTTCTAGTGGAGGCTCCTCATTCCCGTCAACCAGCGGCAGCAGTGGTCCTACATCTAGTGGAGGCTCCTCTTTCGCGTCAACCGGCGGCAGCAATGGTTCTACATCTAGTGGAGGCTCCTCACTCGCGTCAACCGGCGCCAGCAGTGGTTCTACATCTAGTGGAGGCTCCTCATTCGCGTCAATAGGCGGCAGCAGTGTTCCTTCTTCTAGTGGAGGCTCCTCATACGCGTCAGCCGGCGGCATCAGTGTTCCTACATCTAGTGGAGGCTCCTCTTTCGCGTCAACCGGCGGCAGCAGTGGTCCTTCTTCTAGTGGAGGCTCCTCATTCGCGTCAACCGGCTGCAGCAGTGGTCCTACATCTAGTGGAGGCTCCTCGTTCGCGCCAACTGGCGGCAGCAATGGTTCTACATCTAGTGGAGGCTCCTCATTCGCGTCAACCGGCGGCAGCAGTGGTCCTACATCTAGTGGAGGCTCCTCTTTCGGGTCAACCGGCGGCAGCCGTGGTCCTACAACTAGTGGAGGCTCCTCTTTCGCGTCAACCGGCGGCAGCAGTGGTCCTACATCTAGTGGAGGCTCCTCTTTCGCGTCAACCGGCGGCAGCCGTGGTCCTACAACAAGTGGAGGCTCCTCTTTCGCGTCAACCGGCGGCCGCAGTGGTCCTACATCTAGTGGAGGCTCCTCGTTCGCGTCAACCGGCGGCAGCAATGGTTCTACATCTAGTGGAGGCTCCTCTTTCGCGTCAACCGGCGGCAGCAGTGGTCCTTCTTCTAGTGGAGGCTCCTCATTCGCGTCAACCGGCGGCAGCAGTGTTCCTTCTTCTAGTGGAGGCTCCTCATTCGCGTCAACCGGCGGCAGCAATGGTTCTACATCTAGTGGAGGCTCCTCATTCGCGTCAATCGGCGGCAGCAGTGGTCCTACATCTAGTGGAGGCTCCTCATTTGCGTCAACCGGCGGCAGCAGTGGTCCTTCTTCTAGTGGAGGCTCCTCATTCGCATCATGGACAAACAAAACAACAATTGGTCCAAAGAGCAGTTCATTCAAGCCGATTTCGAACAGCACAGTTAAACCTGGAGGTCAATTTGCCACGAACACAACCACAGTCAAACCCATTGCAGAAGATCCTTGGTGAGCATGCGCGCTTTTTTCTATAAAAGTACTCACTGGCGCTCGCTTAAATTTATCGCTGAACTCGACCTGATTAATTGAGCTTCAGAATTGTAGTGATTTGTTTTTCTGTTGTTTTTGTGACGCTTGATGCAAATGCGATTGTTGGTTTTCTGAAGGGGAGATTTCCAAAGCAAAAAATCTAAATTTGTTGAACTTTTTTGGTCGACCAAATGGACTTTTGGTCGTTACGAAGCCAAACTGTGCACAACTAATCTCAATTGGGTCAAATTTATCAGAAAAGTCTTGATCATGAACTGCTCTAAACTTTCAAAGAGCTTTCGGAACATCTATTTTTCTAGTTGAAAATTTTCTTTTTCCTTACGTTCATCGGTTTTTTACAACTGTCTGTTGAATATGAGTCGACTTTTCCGGCCCAAAAAAATATGCTCGGCTTTGTTCGCCCCAAACGAGAGAGATGCTTTTTGTTCGTTAAGTTTGATTGAGGGCTTGTTTCGACTTTCAATTGACATGAGCAATCCTAAAGTAACATTACGAGGCCAAACTGGATTCCACGCAAATATCTAAAACACTGAAATTTTGGATTCCACGCAAATATCTAAAACACTGTAGTGCTTTAAATGGCTCCAAAAGTAGGCAAAAAGCAAAAATGCGGAATAAGCAACAGTTTTTACGGAACCCGTAACAGTTTGTGGAATCCACAGACAAACAATAAAATATAAGTATACTAAATTGGGCTGTTTCGGAATCCGCAAATGTAAGCAGAATCTACAAATTGTAAGCGGAATTTGCGAAATCCACTTACATTTGCGCTTTCAGCTTACAAAATTCGCAGATTCCACTTAAATTTGCGGAGTTCACTTACATTTTGCGGAATCCGCTTACATTTGTGGAATCCAAAACAATTAGCAAAATTCGCTAGCTGCGGAACCCGCGACAAAACTAAGGTGCCGACAAAACTTACTTTACAGGTTTTTTTTACGAGTAATCCACTTACATTTTGGGACAAGTTTATGGACTTGTCTCAGGAGTCCAGGAACTTGCAGACACCAAAAGTTGCACCTATCCAGTACACAGTTTTGCCGTGTGCTGACATTTGCTATGTTTCAATCGTAATTGTTGATTTCAATTTTATTTGTATTGTTTTATTTATCGCCTAGGGGTGTTGCAAGAAGGCAACCTACTGCGCGTTAGTTATTCCCATTTGGCCGAACAAAACAGATTCGAACTCCCATAAAAATACAAAAAAAACCTGATGGGTGAAAAATTATTTTGAATTTAAGTTCAAGACAAGCTAAAAGATTCCTCGACTTGAAATAATCCGACATTTTTTTTCGAAGCGTGTAAGCAGATTGCACTTTTTGGCACTAAAACGACTGGTTTTTTGTTTGCGAACTCACGGGTTGACCTCTAAACAATTGCATAAGCAAAGTCTATCAGAAAATACTAGTCATACAAATTTCTTACTTTTTGCTAAAATCGTTTCAACGAACTTTGAAACAACTTTTTTTTTTGTTTTGGCATAAAACTCGGTGTATCGTACTAATTACAATAAAACTTTTTGTCAAAAAAAATGCTAGTCATACAAGTTCCATATGTGGAAATTGGATGACTTGCATTTTTTGATGGCGACAACAAAATATTTTCCAAATATTTTTGAAATTGCCCCAAAAAAGCTTTTGTGAATTTTTTTCAGTCGCAGTGCGAATTTGTACTCAAACACAAATTTACGAAACAAAATTTTACATGCAAAATATAAATTTTTGTGTCCATAACGTAGTCCTGGATGCACTAATGATTCGTTTTTTCTTTACGCCTAATATTTTTTTTTCAAAAACGCTAAAATTTCTTTTTGTACGGCATGTTCAAGTATGCCATGTATGTCTTGATGAATTTCTGACAAATTGAAAAATGAATTTTTTTAGAAAAAAATCATCGTTGAAATTTTGGCCAAAAATTAAAAGTTTGTTACTTTGTTTATATCACTTTTGTTTGAAAATTCAGGTCATTTTCTGTGCATTGTGAATGCAAGGCCGTCCAACTTTTGGTGACTCTAGTTTTTGTCAATTAAACTCTGTTACGAACACAACCCAATAAGTTTTAGAATTTAATTTTAAAAAAAAATCATTTTTTTGGTTCAGGGCAAACACTTAATTTGGTCTTCAAAGCCGACAACGTAAACCTTAAAATACATTTGTATAGTTTTTATTCTGGAGTATAAGTTTGGCTGGATGAATAATTTAGGTCCCAACACGACCAACAACCCGGTTTGACCAAAACTTCTTATCATACAATTTCCATATATGGAAAAAATTTTACCATACAATTTTAAATCCACCGAAAGTTGTAAAAAATCTTTAAGATAAGTGTTATTCCATCTGAAAAATTTATGATCAGAAGTTTTGGTCAAACTGGGTTGTTGGTCGTGTTTGTACCTAATTTATTCAACTAGAATTTGAATTCGATTAACTCAATTTTTGAAATATGAAGGTGTCATCCAGTCAGACTTAAACTCCAGATAAAAATCTATACAGATCTATTTTAAGGTTTACGTTGCCGACTTTGAAGGCCAAACTAAGAACGTCGTCACCTTTGTCGTTGAAAGTATGATTTCACGCAGCAGATTTCTGTCAAATTTTGTACTTTTGTTTTCAATATATCTCGTTTTTAACCTCAGTAAACGTAGTAATCTCAGAAGATTAGTTCATGCCGAAGCTAGTCCCCGTGTCAAGGTCCACGATTTAAGAAAAAACTTTTTAAGTAGCGCCGCATACCGTTTTCAGACTGGATTTTGCAGTCGAATCGTCAGCCGTTTCTTAAGTCGCGCCGTCAGTCTTTTCTTAAAACGCGCCGCTTAAGTCTTTTCTTAAGGCGCTCCGCTTGAATCTTCTCTTAAGTCGCGCCGCTTAAGTCTTTTCTTAAGTCGCGTCGTCAGCCTTTTCTTAAGTCGCGCCGTCAGTCATTTCTTAAAAAGCGCCGCTTAAGTCTTTTCTTAAGGCGCTCCGCTTGAATCTTCTCTTAAGTCGCTCCGCTTAAGTCTTTTCTTAAGTCGCGCCGTCAGTTTTTTCTTAAGTCGCGCCGTCAGTCTTTTCTTAAGTCGCGCCGCTTAAATCGTTTCTTAAAACGCGCCGCTTATGTCTTTTCTTAAGTCGCGCCGCTTCAGTCTTTTCCTAATTCGCGCCGCTTAGGTCTTTTCTCAAGTCGCGCCGCTTAAGTATTTTCTTAAGTCGCGCCGCTTAAGTCTTTTCTTAAGCCGAGCCGTCAGTCTTTTCTTAGGTCGCGCCGTCACTCTTAACTTAAGTCGCGCCGCTTAAGTTTTTTCTTAAGTCGCGCCACTTAAGTCTTTTCTTAAGTAGCGCCACTTAAGTCTTTTCTTAAGTCGCGCCGCTTAAGTCTTCTCTTAAGTCGTACCGCTTAAGTCTTTTCTTAAGTCGCGCCGTCAGTCTTTTCTTAAAACGCGCCGCTTAAGTCTTTTCTTAAGGCGCTCCGCTTGAATCTTCTCTTAAGTCGCGCCGCTTAAGTCTTTTCTTAAGTCGCGTCGTCAGCCTTTTCTTAAGTCGCGCCGTCAGTCTTTTCTTAAAACGCGCCGCTTAAGTCTTTTCTTAAGGCGCTCCGCTTGAATCTTCTCTTAAGTCGCTCCGCTTAAGTCTTTTCTTAAGTCGCGCCGTCAGTTTTTCTTAAGTCGCGCCGTCAGTCGTTTCTTAAGTCGCGCCGCTTAAATCGTTTCTTAAAACGCGCCGCTTATGTCTTTTCTTAAGTCGCGCCGCTTCAGTCTTTTCCTAATTCGCGCCGCTTAAGTCTTTTCTCAAGTCGCGCCGCTTAAGTATTTTCTTAAGTCGCGCCGCTTAAGTCTTTTCTTAAGCCGCGCCGTCAGTCTTTTCTTAGGTCGCACCGTCACTATTAACTTAAGTCGCGCCGCTTAAGTTTTTTCTTAAGTCGCGCCACTTAAGTCTTTTCTTAAGTAGCGCCACTTAAGTCTTTTCTTAAGTCGCGCCGCTTAAGTCTTCTCTTAAGTCGTGCCGCTTAAGTCTTTTCTTAAGTCGCGCCGTCAGTCTTTTCTTAATTCGCGCCATCAGTCTTTTCTCAAGTCGCGCCGTCAGTCTTTTCTCAAGTCGCGCTGCTTAAGTCTTTTCTTCAGTAGCGCTGCTTAAGTCTTTTGAGTTTAAATCAGGTGTAGCTTTCTCATAGGAAAAAAATTCAGATGAGCTACAGCGTCTGTTCGTCACGCCGGATATTATTTTCGGCCAGGTAGATTCGTGCAATTTCTTAGTCTAATACCAAACTTAATCTTACTCTTTTATCTCCTAACCTCAACAAATCTAGTGTACATGGTATTTGCGGGTTAGGTTTATTGAACTTGTTCGAAGGAGAACGACTGCCTTCTAAGATTTATTCAAATTGTTCTGGTGCTGAAACTACTTGTAATTTCAGCACTACAAATAATTGTCAGAGTCAGTTATTGAACTTGATAGGTTAGTTAGTAATATTTTACAGGGATAGATTTATCAATCATTTAGTTGGCTACAACAACTAGTCTAGAACTGGTTCCACCCTTCCGGGGTTTAGAGAGTTTTTAGTTTTTGAATCGTTTACTAAAGTGAAGGACCGATGGAGAGTTTTTTAAACTTTTTTGGAGTAGCTTGATTCTGAGTGGTTGGAGCAGTGGAGTGGAGTTTTGAGTGGAGAAAAGAAGAACAGTTGTTCGTGTTCCAGAAGTGGGTCTTGTTTGATCCTGGGTCGTATGGGCTGATTGTGTCATGGTTTTGGATTGATGCAAAAATGTGGTAATTTCGTTAAGC